CCCCAAAACCCCAAAACCCCAAAACCCCAAAACCCCAAGATACCACCTTAATGCTGAAAGATATTACCCAAAATTTAAGTTACAAATAGGGGAAGGCTCTTTCACTATGTCCTCGGATCATGAGTTATAAGACTCATAGTCTCAGTTCTTAATGATGCGGAGAAACCCTTTCGTCTCAGACTTTTCGGTACTGATTTTGATCATATCAAAATCTTCCTCACTTTCATCATCAATTGTGTCTTTGTTACCAAAATCTTTCTGACAAGAACTTGTTGGGGAAAAACACTCAATTTGAAAACTTGAATTTTCCTCGGAAATATCCTTGAGTTTCAATGATTCTTGTTTTAAATTCTCCTCAGAAATTTTTATTTCCTCAGTCTGGCTTAAAGTCTCAAGCTGAAGATCTTCAGACTCAGCTTGGCAACCCTTCGTCATGTTGGATCAGTTAGTCCAGCTATAGTTAAGTTAAACCGCTTTCACATAAATCAGAAAGATAAAGAAATGAATGGGTTTTGAGTTTAGCCTTACAAATTGTAGTAAAATGCATTCTCAATGGGAATAATTTTATTAGTCATAATAGTCGGAATTAAAGCTGTATAGCTTAGAATTTCATCTTGGCTCTTTTCATAGTAAAAGAATTCATTTAAAATATGTTCTCTGAAAGGAGCATTCAGCAGTTCAGGTATTGGTACTTCTTCAATAATTTCAAGCTCGTCTTCAGGATTTTCCACTTCACTATTTGTATTTTCTGAACTTGGGTTGCTGTTCTTGTTCATGTGAGTTGACTAATTTGTAGTCCTTCATTGCGATTCTTGCTTCACAATATGATACTATTTTAAATTAATAGGAAAGAAATGTAATCATAATCAGGGATATCTGCAAAGGTCAAGCCTAAAAATAATAACTAATTCTCACTTTTAATGTATTCAAATATCTCTCTAATTTCTCTGAACTCATTGGTTATAGAAGTCCACAGAGAACCATCAGGTTTGTTGTGGGATAGTTCCTTCAACTCTTTAACATGTTCAATCTCGTAAGAATCTTTATTTCCAAGGTAGTTTTTCTCCAAAGAACTCGAGTAGAACATAATACCAGCTCCATAGATCATCTCAGAATCCTAATTCTTTCAAGTTGTGAGCATTCAAACTGGCAAAGGAAATAGTCCCCCTGAATTCAGTACGTGATCTATTATGAACAAATTCTCCAGTATTCAAATCTATATGTCTCTTAGCGAGCCCAAAATCCGCTAGAGGTAGACAGTCTTAAGCTCAGAATCGATAAGAAAGTTAGACGCTTTAACATCTCGATGCACGATTCCTTTCCGATGAACTTGCTCTATCGCCTCGAGCATTTGCATTAGAAGTCTAGCAGCATAGCTTCTTGATTTGTACATGCAAGCAACTTTGATGGACTCATCTTCATCAGGATGTGTGTTAATAGTCTCTACAGTTGGGACAAGCCATTTATCTAGAAATCTCTTATTTAATTCTGGCCAAACTAGCACACATTAGCTTCATCACTATTGCACAAGTGTAGTCAGACTTAGAGTCTCCTTCTTTCTCTTTATCGTCATTTGAAATAATTTTCTCTACATAATCGTAGACTTCAGGGATGTGAGCACAGTCTAAGTCTTGGTTAGTTATCGTGTCGATGAGGGAAAAACATTGTGGCAGTTGGAGTATGTAATTTGTGGTCTTTGGAATTCGTTCAAAATTTAAAATAAGTTTACAACTTTAGGAGGTGAAAATACTTGAGCTTCAAAGTGATAAACTTTTGATTTTGAAAATTCGATGTGTTTTTGTTTCATGAATTAAACTATTAGGGAGAATTTTAGATATCCAAAATTGTTGTTTTTATTCCAGTCATCAGGATCTTTCCATACCATTGCCCTTGATACATTGCTCCTCAACTCCTTAAATCTATCAAAAAGCTACAAATTCTTCATCTAAGCTCGTTTAAGCTTTGAATTATTCTCACCTCCTAAAATCTGTATTTCCCTCAACATCTCATACTCCTGATGAAGTACGCTTGCTCTATAAATTCAAAATGAGTGATTTGTTCCTCTTGAACTTACCTTGCTTCATCTAGAGATATTTTTTCTACTTTGTATGCGAACTTTTTATGCCTGATGTGGTCCCATACTTCATAAACCTTGCCTAGAATAATACAGGTTAGCCCAAAGTCTCCTTCTTCAGGCTTATTTATTGATTTGGATGATTGGAGGACACATTTAGCCGGAAAAAGAAACCCATGAAATTTTCTTCATTATTTTGTATAAAATTTTAATTTAGAAATAACATTTTGTAAATAATTAGTCAACACAAATTCATGACTGAACTTACTAAAGGAACCTGCTCCGATCGGACTGAGAATTTCATACCTCCTGTGATTCATTAGTTTTAATGGCGGTTAATTTATTATTTATGTGTATATTTTATAAATTCTATATTTGGATACCACGCAGGGGTTTTGGGGTTTTGGGGTTTTGGGG